TCCTTCCTTCCTTCCTTCCTTCCTTCCTTCCTTCCTTCCTTCCTTCCTTCCTTCCTAGCTTAAGCTCCCATGGCTGCAGAAAGAAGCTTAGAAATCCCCACCGCCCTGAAATAAGGGGATGATAGATAACCTTTTTCTTATGTCCTGGCAAATTTCCAGAGCTTCAGTATCTTTATATTTATTTGATTATAAATCAAATTTATACGCCACCCATCTCACTATCAGTGACTCTAGGAGGCTCACAAATACAAAACATAAAAACAGTTAGAAACTACAAAACACAATTAAAAGACTGCAGACAAAGTTAAAAGACAGAGAGAGCATCCTCAGGACGCTGGCCACCCCCAGTGTTAGGATCTTTAACTGTGTTTTCAAGTCAATGGTGACTTTGTATCTCCATTGTACCTGAACAAAAAGAATTAATGACACCGTAGTCCTAAACTGCTGATGGACAGCAATAAGTAACTCAGTATAATGACCCTTCTACCAATCCCATCTTCAGTGTGATGAGTTAATTTTATTGGGATGTAAATCAAATTCTCTTCCTGCTGCTTATAATGGGATAATATATAGAACTCTTGGAACTGGAATCTTATTAGCTGCATATAAGTGCAGCTATTACATGTACATTTTCTGCCATCACAACTATATTGGCACTTATAAATAGAAATCTTTCCCAGAAACCTAACAAAATTAGCAGCAAAGAGAAATAAAAATATGAGCTCCCCAATTTTCAACAGACTGAAACTTTGAGTCAGAGGCAGGCAGCTTTTAATTTAAAACAACAGACAAAAATATTGTTTTTGTTCTGGGAGAACAGCCAGGTCTTTAATAGCCTCCTGAACATCATCAGGATAGGACTCATCCAGATCTCTGGGGGGATATTATTACATCAAAGAAGGTACGCTTTCTGAGTCCCACAAGATGATACTGCTCAGTCAATCAGACCCAGAGCATACCCACTCTGCCCAGTCACACTGGACAAAGACCAGTGATCCTCAAATAACCAAGCCCTTATGCCATGAAAGGTTTTGTAACCAGCATCTTGAACTGGACTGGCAAACTAAATGGTAACCAGTGTAATGCACACAGCAGTGAGGTAATATGCGCATAATAAGGCATGCCCATCACTGCCCATGCGGCTGCATTCTGTAGTAGCTGTAGCTTCTGAGTGGTCTTCAAGGGCAGCCCCATGTAGACTGCATTACTGTAATCCATTCATGAGGCATGAGTGACTGTCTGATGAGCCTCTGGATCCAGGAAAGTGCACAACTGGCACACTAGATGTACCTGTGCAAAGGCCCTCTTGGCCACAGTTGCCACCTGCTCTTTGAACAGGAGCTGGGAGTCCAAGACAATCTCAAAGTGATGCACCAGTCTTGAATGGGGAAGTGCGACCCCACCCAAGTCCAAAGATGGAAAATCCACAGAATCAGGAGGCCCAGTTAGCCACTCAAGATTGAGCCTGAGTTTGTTCCTCCCCAATTCACAATAATGAATAAAATCTTCACAGGTTTGTTGTTATGGGAAAAATAGGAGCAAGGGTATTAGGTATGTTTGCCACTTTGAGTTATATACAAAAAAGGTAGGAT